TCGGTCAAAAGATGTACCGCGGCATTCTTGATACTTGCACACCATCTTGCCGTCTTCGTTGCGCGGTGGTTCTTCGGCGCGTTTATAGCTGTGGTTCTTCCGTAGTGATCCGTCGTCATCGCCGTCTTGCGAGGAGTCTACTGAGAGTCCCCTGCTGTGGCTTCGAGGCGGGCTTGTAACAATGATTTGGCGTTCGCCAGCGGTCGGAGAGGTCATGGGTGATCGAGCGCTCATGCTGACCGGGGTAGGCATATCGGTGAGCGAGCTGATGGAAATGTTCCGCTTGTGCTCGTGCGGCACTTGCATGGAAGTAGGGTTTGGCGAAAGCTCAGTCATGATGTCTGAAAATCCAAGGTTGAAATACTGAGGGTTGTAACTGTGTTGCTGGGCCTGAGGCTGGCGGCTTGGTTGATATATACCGGGAGACGCGAAGGCAGTTTGTGGCTGAGCAAAGAGATCGCTTCCCGCCGCTCCGGTGACTCTAACTCTCGGATCTTGAGTAGAAGTGATCAGATGACGCGGACTGTCTTGAGGTGGCAACGTATATGAGTGCCAAGGAATTTCGTGGTCGGAGCCCAGATGCGGAAAGGCCGTTAGAGGTGGCGCAGCAATGCCTTGATCTTGAGGCGAATAAAAATTAACGGGCGGAACTGCCTGGAAGTTTGGTGCGGATACGCCATAATAAGTATCTGGATTTGGATTTGTTAGTCGCAGCTGCGAACAAGTCCAGCCTGAAACCCAGGGTAGGCAGAGAAGTCGTGACTCAACTCAAACGGACACGGGACACTAGGCACTTACTTGGTCGCGGCTCTGGGTCCGCACCTTCTCCAGCCTGACTAACCCGCAGGACTGGAACTGGCAGCCTGTCCGCAAGACCATTCAAACTCAGATCGGGCTCCCAGGTTTCCGTGTTTCGTGCCTGGAATGGAGCATGGTCCACATGGACGTTTGTCGCAGGCGTCGCATGCTGCGGCTGCTCGCCAATCAGCTCTTGGCCAAAGCTGAGGTCTGCAATGCATTAGCACCAATCGGGATAACCACAAACCTTCTTCGTGTTTTCACGCTCGACCAATCGCAACCAGTCATCCACCTGAGCAGAAGCCTCATCGGGCGGAAAGAAATGTAACACATACAGTCTGACGATGCATCGGTATCCCACGACAGATTGAGGTTGTGTAGCACGTTGTTGTACGGCACGCGGTCTTTGCCAGTTCCCTCGTAAAACATCCAGCAAACTCCCCACAGAACGGCTAGGGACGGTTTGATAGTCCACGGGAAGGTGCTGAGCGCTTGTGGCTTCTCAGCGAACTCTGTAAACCAGGCCAGGAGTTTGCGCTGCCTCTTGTCGTGATCGCCGCAGAGCAACTCCTCCAGAGCCTTGCGTGCCAAGGACTCGATTAGGTCTGTCTGTAGCCGCAGCAGTAGATGTTCATAGTTGGCAATGAAGTTCTCGTCAAGGATCAGTCCGAGGTCAAGCCCTTGGGCCAAGAGCCAGTCGTCACCATACTGCCGGCGACACCCCGCAAGCACGTTGATCGCTTCGTGTACTGCCACGAGGAGCTGGATAGTTTCGTTCATGGAACGAGCCTCCAAGATCGACGCGTTGTCGTGTTTGAGAAAGAGCCTGTCGCTGTCCGCGATAGACGAGAACGCGTTTCCCGCTACATGGAGTTTGCCGTCGACGTAGCGAAGCATACTAGGCCCGCAGGTTCAGTAGTTGAAACTAAACAAAAGCTTCCGTGAACGTACTGTTGCACCTCATTCCCTAGGTTTCGACTTGCGGGAGCAGCCGAAGCCGGCGTCTGCAGGTTGCGCGACGGTCGAGTGAACGTCGCACCCTTCTGACTCTTGCAGATGCGATTGGCGACGCGACGCGACTGCTTCGCATCCTGGACGCTGATCCGTGATAGATTCTGGGCGACACTTCGGAGGCTCGGCGCGAGGCTGATGCCAAGAGGGCTCGCATCGATTGAGCCATGCTGCACACGCGGCTTGACACGACGACGAAGCTGTTTGACAAATTGGAGGATTCTAAAGGTGAGGATAATGCTCGTTTGCTTGTTGCGCTGCTGGATCGCCATTGCTAAGCGAGACGGGCGGTCCGAAGACGTAAGAAGAGACGACGTGTACTCAACCTTCGCCTCTCGCGTTCGCAGCTAGCATGTATATACTTGGAATCATCCAAGGGCGGAGCACATTGCAGAGTGCCTGCCGGTGAGCCTGCCTCGATGAGAGGAAACCGTCAAGCCACGCTGTACGGCCACACGCGGCGTGATTGGCTGGCTCCCGGCTTGTTGAAGTGCTCAGCCACAACAGAATGCCGCTTGATAACCTGGGGCATCAACGCCAGACTCGACACCACTTCTCCCACCCTATCGTTTGGACAGCCTGGCAAAAGACAAGGTCACGCATTGAGTAAATAGCGTGGCGCAGCGGTTCTCCTACCTTACACGAACACTTTATGGGCAGGCCCCCGCAAATGTGCCGTGTTGCAGTCGTTTGACCGCCATCGTTTTGTCGTTGCCTTGAGAGACAGCCTGTATTCCCCCAGCACCGGTGTCATCTTCATGCGGAACGTTCAGCGACCATCGGAAAGTATCGCTGACCGCTTGACGTCTGTGAATCCCTCGGGATCTGCGGCTAGGATGTAACGAGGTCCCCCCGCCATGATGGTGTTGCGGCCTTCCGAAACAAGGTGGAACACAGATCCTGCATGACGTCTCATAGCTGGGGATGGTTGCGGCTGATCTTCGGTAAAGAGGACTCGAACGATAAGGACGAAGCTTTTGGTGATTATGGACGTGATGTGGGAAAAAGGAAACATGTAGGCATTGAAGTTGCGATGGTTGGATGCTTCCGATACCATCTATCTCTCACGTGGAATGAGCGACCCTCTCCCCCCAACTTCATGTCGCCAATTCTCTTATCCGACTCAACGTACTCCGCCTCCCGGACAACAGCATCCCAGGCCTATAACCCGGCGTCACACGAAACACCCCCACACCCCATTGCCGAATCGCAACATGTTCGCACCGAGTGTAGATCCGGATGCCAAATGCAGACCATGCATGCGAACTATCACGTGCGGCCTCGCGCTTCCGAAAGCCCGTTTCCTCTCGGGCAATGCATGAACAAGTTTTGAATCTTTGGGCGGAGAGATGTGTACCGAAACCTGAGAGGCCTCAGGCGGTAAGGTTTGTCAAACACGAGCCGAGGTGTAGGAGGTATTTCAATTCTCGCGACAATATTTCGCGTGATCATACACTGGTACGTTATTCTCTCTGCAATCGTTGTGTAAGCTGCTGTCTCTCGGAGCATGCTGAATAATGAGCATCGATCGGCTCGATACACAGGTGCTGTGTATTGTTAGGACAGTGTCAGCAAGGCAAATAGTGGGGATGATTCGTAGACAACCTCCCAGCCGACACTACGCCTGGTACGTGTAGACACAATGAGAGGTGAGAAGAGACTCCGGCCTTCGATTGTAGAGAAGCGTTATCATGCTCATGTCAATATATTGTACAGCAACCCCGCTGGCTATGCATTTTCGCCTTTCGTCCAGCTCTTTGTTATCTTCTTTTCCTCTTCCGCTCAACCTTGCACATCCTCAAACGCTCATGACCTCAGGCCCAGCAAGAAGCTGCCTCCACTTGAACCGCCGCCATTGCCGCCAGAGTTACCGCCGGGTAGATAGCTGATGTTGGGGTTCCTCGCCAACATCTGCGCAATATCCTTCTGTGTCTCAATGCGCCTGATCAGCACCAAGCCGTCACCACTCTTGGCCACTGCCTTTGAAATTGTGTCGGCAGCCTCGGCTTCACCCTCTGCCCTGATGACGTTGGCCTGCCTCTCCTGCTCGGCCTTCTCGACAATGAAGCGCGCGCGCTCGGCCTCTTGTTGTGCGATCTGCTTCTCTTCGACGGCCTTGGTGAACTCTTTGCCGAAAGTCATGTGGGTGATGGAGACGTCTTCGAGGGCAATGTTGAACTCGTTGGCGCGCTTGAGCAAGTCGGTGCGAATGCGGTTCGAGACGGCCTCTCGCTGGGTGATGAGCTCGGCGGCATCGAACTGGGCGACGATGGCTTTTAGGACTTCGTTACCGATGGAGGGGAGGACACGCTCGTCGTAGTCGAGACCGAGGTTCTACTAGCGCGTTAGATGCAATTCCTCAAGCTGCCTGCTGCACGAGTGGGGGATGGCATAGACATACCTGGTAGATCTTAGGCAGCTGCTTGACCTCTGGGCGATGCAGCACCCTCAGTGTGAGTGTGACCATCTGCAAGTCCTTGCTGCCCGTCGTAGTGCTGATGTTCCGCGGCCTCGTCCTTACATCGAAGACAATCGCCCGCTGCAGCCATGGTACCAGAAAGTGGGTGCCCTCGTTGACGACTTGTTCCTTGACTCCCGACAGACGATCGAAGATGACGGCGCGGGTTCCGCCCTTGACGTCGTAGAGGGAGCTCTGCACGACACTGGCGCCGATGGCGGCAGGAACGACCCAGCGGAAGAGGGAGGTGGGTATCGCAGCCATGGTTGGCGGTTTGTGCGGTTTGGTGTGGTGAGGCGGCGGCAGGCAAGATGCGGAGAATCGTGAGAAGTGGATGATGCTTCTACTGGAAATATGGTCCGAGCGTCTGCGGCGAACGATGCCCGTGATTGGCGCAAACACTACCACCACGGATGCACAACGAGCACATGCTGGCGGGTTGAGGCGTCTTCATTAGATAGTCCAGGCTGTTGCATTGTTGTCTTACCCGACCCTGGTACGCTTCCGTGCATGAGGAAAGTCACGGAAGAGGGGCTGTCAGATCAGGCAGGAGGCATTCGGTTGGTAAACAAAAAGACTCATATGCGTGTCGAAAAGGATGTATTCATCAACGCCGATGCTGATATGCATATGTGTGTCTTAAAGCCCGTCTACGTACTCCCCGCCTCATCCATCACCCCCTCCACCAGCTCATTCTCATCTGAGCGACAGCCACCGGTACAAGGTCGGCTCACTACTGCTCAATAAAGCCCTTGTGCTCCTTGTGCGCCTTGTACCAGTAGCTGTCCTCCTTCTTCGGCCGGAGCTCCTCTGACAGCTTGTCTAGGATGACCGCCAGAAGCTTCTGACGGCCATCCTCGTTCTCCGCGTCCCGGTTCCAGACGGCGATCTGTACAGCGTTCCAGCGAACGCTGTACGAGATCCCGCAGATGTCGTCGTTGAAGGCTGTTGAAGATTAGTCTTGAATACGTGTGAATTGTTGGAAAGAAATCAACTTACAGGCACGCTTCGTCTCGACGGCCCCCTGCAAAACGTCGCCAACCGCAAGCAGACACATCTCGTGCCAGAATTGCGCCGCCACGTCCTTGCTGACCTTGAAGTACCATGCGCCGCCGCGCGTATTCCGCGGGTCTTCCCAGACCGGCTTCACACCCAGGTGGAAGAGGTGTATCGAGTCTCGCAGCTTCAGGTTCTCCACCGGGATGTTGTTGAAGTGCTGGTAGAACTCCTTGACGGAGACGATCTGGTCTCCAAGCGGCTTGGGGCGGGTAAGGTACTCTTCTGAAGCCGCTTTGTCCTTGGGCGCGGCTTGCTGACCCTTCTCTGCCCAGAACATCCATTTGAAGCGGAACTCGGGTACTCGCACCGACTTGAAGATGTTGTTGAGCATGGCGGTGCCGCGCGCAGGCGAGGCCGTGGCCGACTGCTCTTCAGCCGATGCCTTCGGGAGGTCAGAGGTGCTGAGCACCGGGAAGCGACCAGCCATGGCGGGAGATGTGATGGGGATACCGAGGTTGCTGCTGATGAGCTGGAGTTCCTTGATGTTGGAACGCGCGGTGAAGATGCGCTTGCTGTTTTCGATAGCGAGGTCGTTGGCGAGGTCCTCGGAGGTCTCCTTGGGCTGGACGTTGGGGACGACGAGGATGGTCTCACGGGCAATGGCTTTGTTGAGGGTGACGAGGATGCGATCAGCGGCGACCTTGGCCTCGTACGTCAGGGGCTCGTTGGGGTAGGGTACGCCGTGCTTGGTCGCGTAGATGAGGTCTTCAAGAAGAGAGACGGAGGTGGACTTGCGGGCAGCTGCTGCAGTCCTAAGCTTCTTGCGGGTCTCGTTGGCCGAGGCAAAGAAAGCTTCGCGCTCCTTGAGCTTGGCCTGGTCAGCGTTCTGAGCGGCAGAGGCCCTGAGCATGCCGATGATACGAATGGTCTCGTTCATGGTCATGGTGATGGATGTGAATGTGGTATAGGATAGAGTGATGTAGAGAGGAGAAATGACGACTGAGAGTCTCTGAATAGATATAGAAAGCTGGCGGATGGTGGTTTGTAGATTGTGAAGGCTTGTGAAGAACAGGAGTGTGATGGACGAGAGACAGTCAAGGACGAGCGATTGGAAAGTTTTTATGCTCTCCCAGCCTCCTCATTGCAAAGACAAACAATAGCAGAGAAATCTATTGTGGACTCGCTTGAATGACGGTGGTGAAGGTGAACGCGCGAGGTGAAGACGAGTGGACCAACCAGCGCTCGGCGTTGGGCTCGATGAAAACTGATCATGCTGGCACAATAGCAGAACGCGCAAGATGATAGCAGATGATCAATAGGGAAATATGCAATCATCTGATGCTGATGCTGGATCGGGGCAGATCGATCTTGATAAGATCCATGGATGGGTGCATGTGGGCAAGTCTGAGGTTGACTTTCGATCTGGTGGCAAGAAAGAGACGACGGGAACGGAGATGGATGAATTTGTAGGGATTGTAGCGACATGAGAGAATAAGTACATACCTAATGTCTGATATCCAGAAATCTCGCGCAAAGACAACTGAGCCTTGCACACGGTTGCCCAGGTGGTGAACACTGATGAAAGTCGGAAGCGGGGCAGCGACACACCGACTCTTGCAGACACCGTCACAAAAGCTATGAGAACAGGTAGAGAGAAGGATCACAGCAGCGAGACTGTAAAGATTGACGAGAAGGGGTGAGGTCGGATATGTACGAGGCCAGCTGGAGCTTTAAGAGGCTTAACCCCTCGGACAGCACAAGTCAGCCATGCAGGCGCCCGCTCTAACTACGTTTCAAGACGCCGTTTCACGACCCCTGCTGACACCAACGAGTCGCTTCTGCCTCAGGCCAATCTGCAGCCGCACGCCTTGGACTGTGGAGCATCTGACGGGATATCCCATTGTTATAGATGTACTTGAACATGTCATGTGTGCATATCTGGTTGGCATTGGCTGTCGGCGCCAAATGCTGGAGAGGGCGGTGACGTAGCCAAGGGTCTTCTCCGGCTCGCTACCCTGGCGCGAGATCTGCACCCGTCTGCGCGAAACTTTGAATCTTGCCCAACTTTTTCCCCCAGACTTTTGTAACCCACTTCCAAACGCGTAGACGTCCTTAACCGTCTCTCCTAAGATTACCCATATCGAACACCACCAAGTAATTATGTCGCCATACGTCCACGAAGCCGTCGCGCACCGCAGCAAGCGCGTGCGCTTCTCCAACGAGCCCGAATCTTCGCCGCCCTCGATATCCTCCGACTCCGCCCTCGCGTCGACAAACGCTGCAGACGATTCTACCACGAATGCAAGCGACTTTGGTACCTCAGACAGCGACAGCGAACTGTCCGAATCGAGCGAAGAGCCCAGCAGCGACGAGAGCTCAAGCGAGGAGGAAGAGGATGATGGCGAGGACACAGAGATGGAGCTCGAGGAGCTACGATCACAAGACGGTGTCGTAAACCTCCGCGCCAACAGAGGCACGAAGCCAATTATGAAGTTGGGCAACGAAGATCTAGGACCAGACATTCGCGGCTTCCTCAAAGACTTTCTGCCGCAGTTGAAGGCTGCGAACGAGGAGCTGGAGGCGCAGAAGAAGGCCGGGACGCTGAAGAGTCTGGAGTCTGTAGAGGGACAGGACGAGGGCGAGCCGTATATTGAGATGGTGAGTAATGGATCTTGAGGGTATCGTAGGGCGCTGCTGACAGTGTCTAGGACCTCGGACTAGGTGTTCTCGAAGAAAAAGACCCGAACGCGGATAGCGACAAGGACAGCGCGAGCGATGCGGAAGACAGCGATAAGGAAAAGGATGTGTTGGGCAAGCTGATGAGGCGCGAGAAGAGAGATCCTGCGAGCATCGAGGTCGTGCAAAACACAACAGAGTCAACATGAGATGCTGGCTAAGACGATTGCCGTCATTACGGGCGCCTTCAGTATCGAACAACTTCTGGGCCCGCCTCCAGAAACGGACTGAGTTACGGATACGACAGTGTTTGCGCGCGATCCGCATGCTCATACCGATGCCTTCACCTATCCAGTCACTGGTTCGCCTGTCAAAGGCCTGATGTGTGAAGAGCGAACGAGATTCGGTATAACCCCTCACCTGTGGCTCTGTGCGGAAGCTAATGTAGCATAAGGATCACGCAACCTTCCGGTATGCTCTTCAATGTACAATGTAGACATTGCAGATATGGGACCTAGGCTCGGAGTTGAACGACTGGATATCAATATCACGCATACACAATCACATACTGCAAGCACGCAATGCTTCGTCCTGTGAAGAACCCACGATGCATTGGTGGCTATAAGTAGCCGCCCCAGCACTTACACTTACTCTTCATTAGACCTCACAGACAACGCATACACACACTACCATTTACAGCATCATTCGACTATATCGACAACAAACTTGATCAACATTCCAGCTCCACGAGACACGACTACGCTCAACGGCCGCAATTGTATCCCTGTCCTTACACAATTGGAAACCCAAGCCTCTCTTACATAAGTATACATCATGAGCGGATTACCAGGCAAGGGCAGGGGCTCTGGAGGAGACGATAGGGAGGAGAACAAGAGGCGTGGGGCACAAGATAAGAATAAGGCACTAGCAAAACCTCGGCCGAAGCGGACCGTAGAGCAGAAAGCAGCCATCAACCAAAAAAGGCGACAACAGAGATCAGACAACGCTGAACAGGCGAAACATAACCTAGAACTGGGGGCTGACCTGCGTAAGGAAAAGGACGAGAGAAATGCCAAGGAACGCATTTACTATGCGCAGAAGAGGATAGTCGATCAAGAAGGGGCGAAACATGACCCAGATCTGAAGGCTAAGCTGCGTGAGAAAGCGAACCACCATGCTGCCTATCAGAGAAATTACAAAGAGCAGAGGGTGGTTAAGGAGACGGCGCTATCTTCTGGGAGGCCGGAGACTCCAGCAAGTATAACGTGGGAGAAGCCAGAAACCCTACTATCATATGGCTCACCACAGCCCAAACTTCTGAACTCGAAGAAAATGGACATACAGTTTGAAGAATACGACCCACAAAACCCTGAAGGAAGTAACCTAAAAGTGCCTCAGGTCACAAAACCTCGCACAGAGAAACCTCGCACAGAGAAACCTCGCGAACCTCTGAACTCAAAGAGAATGGACATGCAGTTTGAAGAATACAACCCACAAAACCCTAAAGAAAGTAACCTAAAAGTGCCTCAGGTCACGAAACCTCGCCCACAGAAATCTCGCCCACAGAACCCGAAAAGAAGTGACACAAAAGTGCCTCGAGTCCTGGAACCTCGCCCGCCGCTGTCCTCAACTTATGGATATGACGATCCGCAGACTGGTTATGCCATGCAGCCGCCCACAAATGTCGGGCGCGGCGAACAACGGCCATCGTTTGCCGCTGTTAACACGGAAAACGAACAATTTTTGGCGTCCCTCGATACGAGAGAGGATCAGACACGTACTGGGTGGAGACCAAGACCTGCGCCTGTCAATCTACCCTCTCTTGATCAGCGTAGAGAGAATACCGGTCGGCGATCGAGACCCACAGGTTCGGACCCGAATCCAGCTGTCACCCTTTCTATGGGGAATCTATCGATGACCACACGCCCCTCAACGACTGTTTCGCACAGAATGTCGCGTAACAGTCCACCAGATAACTCTGATGATCGTGCAACGCGGAGACCGCCAAACTTCAGGCAAAGGTATACCGATGAGCAAACCAGACAGAATATGAGTATGAACAAGTTTCTTGATGGTCAAGGAGGATCTTGATAGAGAATGGGTGGAGTATATTGGCCCTGAATATTGCGAGTTTTTTATTGTCCATATGTCGGATTGACAGGGTGGTTGCATTTCATGGTTACAGAGCTGGCTCTAAACTTCAAAGATCGAGGAGATGGGCTGAGGTACATGTTACATTGTTTTCTTAATTGACACTTACGGTGTGTTTTACTGCTAATTCATTGGGCTCGAGGGGTGGGGTGGAGCCCCTCTATCATGTATGTTACGGTATGGCAATTATAGCGTTGTTGGGTCTGAAAAGGCATTAAGTACAGTCATTAATTAAGAACATTAGTTCCTTTACACAAGTTTGATTCTGATCATTGATGATATACTTGGAAAGCGTGTGATCTTATCATCGAAACCATCTCTGGCTCATACGTGCTAACACCCGTTCCGCATCTTACCAAACCCCCACCCATGCATCGCTAACGCCTCAAGAATGCCTGATCCACATCACCTTCCCCTCCAACACTGCTCGTCTAATGACCAACACCTCCCTTAGCCCACGTCGCATCAGCATTCTCATGAATCTTCGGCACCTCAATATACTCCCTCACCTCCTTCTTCCTCTGATAATCGCTATCGAACCGCTGATCCCTCTCCTTCAACCTCTTCTCGAAATCCGGCATCTGATCCGCGGCCGTATAACTCGTCATCAGCTGTGGGGGTCCAAGCGGCAACTTGTCACCACGGTCAGTCTGCCAGAGATGGTAGATCTTGCCGTACAGCTCGACAACTTCTTCCATCTCTTTGTTCTCGGCTACTTCCCATGCGGCTTCTGGTACGCCGGTTGGACGCGGCATGATTAGCATTCCGGACTTTACTTCGAAGACGTGGGAGTGCCAGAGTTTTTGCTCTTCGGCGTCGAGGGTTGAGTAGAGTTTGGGTGAGATCATGTACTCTGAGATTGTATTAGTATGCAGTCTTGCGATTGAGGACGCAGGATGCTTACCAATGCCGATGATCCGCGCGCCTTTCTCGGGCGAGTCGTAGAGGATGCATTGGCGTACTTCATCGTTCAGGTGCGCGCAGTAGTGGTTTGCTTCGACTGCATCGCGCTTGGGATCGTGAGCGTATGCGTGGAAGGCGTTGAGGTGCGCGCATATCCTCTTGACTGGCGCGAAGTTCTGTACAATTGGTTAGCGTAGTCACTACACGAGCTGAATTATGCTTACCTGAGTCATACCAGCACCAGTTTCAAGTGTGTTGTTGTATGCACTCTCAGGCTCACCAGCCGTCTTGTTGTTCACGGGAAGCGAGTCCATGTTGTGTTGGGTTCTGGGTGATGTCGTTTCTAAGTGCTGATTGATGGTGCTACTGGTAAGGCCTTGGAGATATGAACTCTGTCCTTGCTTTTAATCTCAGTTATTTGTCGAAGTCGCCGACGATAATCGCCGTTTGGGAACAGTTATCGGCGTCTCAAATGGCGAAGATTTGAGAATGCACATGGGACCATGAACAGAGGTTGACGTCATGATGACTTTTGATTGGGTAAAACACCGGACCCTGCACCCCGAGATCTCTTCTTGGGGAAGCAAAAGCCGACCGACGAAGACACTGCATCTTCAACTAGGTCACTGTCGGCGTCTTCTCTAACATAATCCTCTTGTTGATTTTGGCAACCATAGGGAGGCCTGGAATTTCTTTGGAGCAACACAACACTAAAAGCTGCTAAAAGCGGTCTTTAAGGGTCTAACCGCGCACAACATGTAAAGCTCAGTACACTGCATACAACTTCTGAATGTACATTTCGGCTGCGGCGATGACTAAGCGTCTCCGATATCGTCTATATTCTAGACTGCGACGGTCTTGCATACGTAACCGCAATACTGACTGTCTCTGAGCGACTAAGGTGTAGTCGACCCTCTTCGCTTGAACCTGCACTCAACACCAGTCTGGACGTTGAAAGAAGCATTGTGTGTCTTCCACGGCTTGTCATGTGCCATCTCAAAGTCGAACCGATGCAGTACCTCGGTAGTTATCTTGTAAATCTGTGTCAAAGCGAGCTGTCTATTGTCAGTACTTCTCTAGTATGTGATCACGGAGAACTCACGGGTCTGCCAACGCATGTGCGTGTCCCAGCACCCCAACCTAGGATTGTCTTGTCCATCGCCCGCGTACGATCTTCACTCTGCAGCCATCGCTCGGGAACGAATTCTAGCGCATCTTTTCCAAATACGTCTTTGTCGTGCGAAACGATTGAAGGGTTCATTCCAACTGTGTAGCCTGCTGGGATGTATTTCCCACACAGAGTGATTCCTTCGCTTGGAGCATATCGAGGCATCGATACCGAGAATGGAGAGAATAATCTCAGGGCTTCCTTTACAGTCGCTACGAGGTATGGAAGAGAAGATACCTGACTGTACTGTACTGGTGATGAGAGGGTACCGTTCTCAAAGGCCGCATCGACTTCTGCGCGCGCCTTTTCCAGTTTCTCGGGGTTCTTCATCAAGAAGTAGAAAACGGAGCGCATTGCGATGGACGTGCTATCAGCTCCAGCCATGCTAATAACAGTCAACATGATACTCCACGGTAGCTGTTCTTTCAGTACACATACATTGCAACCCACATGTCCGATGTGATCTCTCTGTGCGAGTAGTTGACCTTCTCTCCCTTTTCTTGCACAATCGCCAGAAGCTGAGAAAGTAAGTCGGGTCGCTTTCCCGTCACTTCAAGGGTTCTCTCGGTAGCCGTCTTCGTCTCTATAATCGCAGTCTTCTTGATATCCTCCACAGCCAGGACAGCCTTCAGTAAGCTCGGGATGCACACAGCGACCAAAAGTAAAAACGGTCGTACGTAGTACGGAGTGACTGTCAGAAGGGTAAGAAATGGCATTGCAAGATGGACCGAGTGGATGTAGTTGTTGTAATCGATACTGTCCTTGAGAAAACCAAAGGCTTGACCGAAGAAGGCGACTCCGACGCTGTCAAACGAGTACCTTATTCACAAGTTAGACTGTGAAATCGGTGAAAGCTAATTTGTAACTCACATCTCGAGCCAAAGACCAAAGTCAAATACTTCGTTGCTATCGGCGAAGCTACCCAACCGTTCAAGAAAGAGTTCCAAGGTCGCATCCAGATTCGGTTCGTTTTTCAGTATGCTGGAAAGGGAATAGACACCTCCAACAATCCTTCGATACGCTGCGTGCGCTTTCTCGTTGGTCTGCGTGAACAAATCCGGTTGGCTGTTTAGTCCTGATGGTCGCCATGGATTGTACCAATCAGTCTTTTGTAGGGCCTTTTGAACCGGGTAGATGTGTGGAATGGCTGTGGTATCGGTCGTCACTACCTCATCGGGTGCGATCCGAATGATGGGGCCATACTTCTGGTGAAGAACGCGCTCGACAATCTCAATGTCGCCTTTGTGATGGTGCCACATGAGCCATGTTCGTGAAACCGATGCCCAGAATGGTCCTGGAACCTTGGCTAGTGGATGGAGGGTTCGAGTATAGACGGTCCAGATGACATAGTATGCGACGAAAGATGCAGGAAGGTAGACCAAGAGGACGGATCGAAGGTGCGCACCCAGAAAAACATCAGAGAGAAGCGTCATGTCGCATATCCTGACGTTAAAGAACGGAAGTACTACAAAAACGATCGTGGAGGGGGCAGACGGGATTATCTTCCATCGTCACTCATCGCTAACTGCAGCACTCTGCAGCCAACCCTTTCAGGCCCCCGATAGCGAATTGCGACTCGAACAGGCCGTCCCAGCATACTGAAAGGAGAGACGATGCCGAAATGCGGGTCTCTCTACTGTGGGCACGCTGCAAGTGCCGGGGCGTACCGCAGACCCTCGCGTTCTGGCCATGGTGTGCGCTTTGCACGAGTCGCCAAAAGCAAACTGGTGATGTTCTCAGCTTCGCCAGCTGAACAAAAGTCGCTAAGGAAACCCGCGAACTATTCGTTGTTCAATCTGATGTGTCCAGACTGTCCAGTATCGCTTTTTCTCATTGCCATGTGGCGGGGAGTCGGAAGGATGCTGCCGCGCTCGGAATGGCCGAATGGGGGTTGCTTTTGCAAGGGGGTCCACGGCAGCACCCTAATCGCAACACCCTGTTCATAGCAGGCCCAGCCGCCGTCCCGTGTCGCCTATCCCGCCTGCCGCCTCCAGAGTTTTGCATGACTTGTGACTTCTTCAACTTTGCTGTCGCCTGTCGACGCAGCTTACTCGTGTGTCTGTTCACAGTCTCCTCACGCTGCCACGAAGCGAAGCGAAGCCAGCCCTCCACACACCTACCGTCCCCCAATGCCGCCTCAATTACGCCAGAGATGCATAATCACGATGCATGAGACTATAGTCTACAAACGCGCAAGCCTAAGAGCCGCTTCTTAGCTTGCAACAACGTCTAGACTATCAATTTGACGTTGTGTGGATATCTGGACTTCCGCGGGGAGCCAATAGGATCTGAAACCGCGATGATGGATGCACAACCCTGAACGCCTCTCCATCTTTTTTCCCAGAGCACCAGGAATACTATGGTCGTGAGGGCAACGCCGTGTAGTAGGCATTCGGGCCTTTGTACACTGGCGTAGCCACGCGTTCTAAGAATTGATCGGATTACTCACTACGCGGCTTACTACATCTTCACAAAACAACTTCCGCATCGATATGTACTTCGGCGAGGACTCAATTCAGCTAGGTTTCTGATCCCATTAACCGTTTCGGTAGTCTCCGGATGCCGAGCCGCCTGGGACGGCACGTCTGTCATGCAGCCTGCTCGGTAGAGTTCGCCTCGGATCCTACGCAGGTCAAGCAGAAACAAATTCTCCTGAATATCAACTGGGATATCGAATACTGGGATGCTGGTAAGGATGTACGGAAACGTGCTGATGATACCCAGGATTCGGGATGGCATTCGGCCATGGCTGCCTTTCTTCTGCTTTTTCACCACCATCGTATATTATATGTATCAATGACCATTGAACGAAGATCGACAAATCGTCATATTTGTGGCTCACCTTCTTGGTTCTCTTACACTACTCAACATGAGGTGGAACGAGGTGCTCGTCATAGGGCTCACAACATTGAGTAGTTTTGTCCATACAGCTCTAGCACAAGATGGCTTGAACATGCTACCGCCATGCGCAGTAAGTCCTGGTTCCTCGTTTACTTCTATGAGAGTATATCACTGACAGTACTAGGCAAATTGCTTCCAGAATGCTGTCACTGCCCAGAGGACATGCGCACCCACTGATGTACAATGTATCTGTGACAGTGAGTCCATAAACGCGGCCATCCAGACCTGTGTGGGTGGCGCATGTTCAGTCAAAGAGTCTCTCAGTAAGATTTACCACCAGACTTCACATCAACCGCGCTGACTTGATGCGAACAACAGCTGCTGTCAATGTCACTTCCACCATGTGCGAGAGGCCTGTTCGCGACCGATCCAACGTCATATTCTTGACGGGTATCACAGCGGGCTCCGTTGCTCTCGCCGCCGTCACCGTCCGCACGTGGTCCGCAATCAGCCAAAACTCGTTCGGGCTAGATGATGTCTTTGCGATAGCAGCCGAAGCAGCGTGTCTCCCCGTAACGGTGATACAATGTTACACACCAAAGCTCGGTTTCGGGAAAGATACTTGGGTAGTTCCCCATAGCGATATCTACAAGGTTTTGAGGGTAAGCAGGCGATGCTCAATGTGTGGATGGCTACTGACTGCTTTATAGCTGACCTACGGCTCCCAAATATCCTACTTCCTCTGCTGCGGACTCACCAAGCTCGCGTTCCTATTCTTCTTCCTTCGCATATTTCCCTCGGAGACGACCCGGAAATGGATCTGGGTGTTTATCGTCATATCAGTGCTCTGGACCATCGCATTCGCATTCACGATGACGTTTGCGTGTAGGCCCATCTCTGCAGTATGGACTTCATGGGATGGCACGAGCACACCAGATTACTGTATAAACCAGAATCTGTTCTACCTGGTAGCAGCGGCGTTCAACATCGGCCTGGACGTCGCAATAGTACTGATACCGATTCCAAATCTGATGACGCTGAAGCTCAGTTCGCGTAAAAAGGTCTTCCTCAGCGCGATCTTTGGCGTCGGTGGCATGTAAGTCATTTTACCCACTCGACACGATGTCATTGCATACTAACAAATATCCTTTAGCACCATCATAGTTTCCTGCATCCGCCTCAGCGCCGTCGCCAAATACGCCACCTCAACGAATCCCATGTACGACAACCTCATGTCCGGCGTATACTCCATCCTCGAGATCAACGTTGGCATAATATGCGTATCCATGCCAGCCTTCCGAAGATTCCTCGCTCAGCTGGTACCCAAGTGCTTTGGCACGACGCAAAACAATTCGGATCCAAACGAAGACGACGACACGCCCAATCGGCCATCGAAGAAGAGGGGCAAGCCAAGCAGAAGCATGCTGGATGCAAGCTTGTTCAACACAACGATGGCGAGGACGGTAGACGACACACTAGAAGGTATTGGAAAGGCGGATGACGAAGTGCACCTCGTTGAACTGCGAAGAAGTGGATCAAAAACTTCGACGCAGAATATGGATGGAAGTATGCGAGGGCACGACGAGGAGAAGATGCCTCCTAGCTACCACGCTTCATGATATTACGAATTTTGCTGTTACAAAGCTTACGACGTCTTCCTGAAAACCATCCCAAACCAAACCTTGGTGCCGACCCACTTCCAACCCCTCTCTCCCACAGCACTACCCTCAACATCCTCCTTCCTCATCTCCCGCTCGTTCACACTCACTACGTTAAGCCCTGCAGCCTTTGCTGCCGCAGCAGTCTCCTCCACAGTATAAACATAACTACTTCCCCTGACCTTAACACCGTCTGCGTTAACGAAACCAGCTTGACTGACGCGTCCCATGTCCGCGTGCATGTTTGTGACCAACGCCGTGCCACCAGGTAAGAGCAATGCAGCCAGTGTGGCGAAGTAATCCTTCAACGGGATGTGCTCTAGGACTAGAGTGGAAGTAACGGCATGGATGGGTCGCAGGTTTGACACCGCAGGTAGCGGAGAGACTGATGGGTTGTCGACAGTAGGAAAGCAGTCGCAGCACTCTAGTCTTGACCGCACCCCTTGCTGATCATTCTCCTTCAACAACGGCGACAGCTTCTTCGCAGCGACATCCAACATGCCCTGCGAAAAGTCAAGACCAGTGACTTCCACGCTCTTCCCGTTCCAATCGTATCGCACAAGCTTCTCCGTGTTACGTCCGGTACCACATCCTAGATCCAGCACACGGAGCTCCTGTTCTGTCGCACTGCTGCTCTTGACTTGAGATAAGAAGTCTGGGAGGAGGGTCTGAAGTTCTAGATCGTCAATCGCTTGCAGCATGTTGCCATCGGTGTCGTAGATGGCAGCCCATTGGTCGTAGGCGGCTTGGGTTGGGATATGTTGGACTGGAGTTGAAGGTTTCTGTGGAGCCGTAGTCGGTTGTAGGTTTTGCGTACGTTTTGACGTTTGTTGGCCGTCCACGGTCGAGTCCGATTCAGTGGTCGAGAAGGAGGTATTGGCAGCTGCGTTGACGTCGACGAGGGACGTGTCGAAGGTCATGTCAATGGATGTTGGCTGTGTCATGTTGATGATGGTGCTCTCGAAGGCGGAATGAAAGATTGGTTGCTGATTGTAGATGGCAGTAGGTTGGCTGGGCCTAGAAACAGATGACGAACAGTTACTGCAGATCTGAAGTGGGGTAAAGTTCCTGCGGATTGATGCTTTTCCTGCTCGGTGCCTGGCGAAGTCTTATATGCCAGCCTGCTTCAGCCAATGACTCTTTTGCACGCCCTCTCCACGCCCAGCATGCATCCAGCATTGCCCAATTAGGCGATATGTCGTGCATCCCTCCGTAGCGTGAGTCACATCTGCATCTGCTGGGTTCTGGCTCGCGCTAAATTGCCCCCAGCGTCCGCCACGTCCGAACTTCACACAACATGCGTTCGGTCCTTCCAAGCTGGCATGAACAGATCTGATGAGAGGTAGACTTCGCGTAGGCGTGTAGTCGCTGTTTCGTGATGTTCATGGCTGAACTTTGAGGAGAGATTCGTGTAGCGTTCACTCCATTACTGCTCCCGGTTATCATCCTATACTCAAGACCCATCTTCAAAGTATCTAGCAAGAATCCGGTCTCGATGCGTGACCAGGCGTGTGCGCGTCGTTAGCGCGTCGCGCAAACGCGTGTCCACCCAACCCTTGCCCAGTTGCTCATCCAATAGCAGATGTGTATACGCAAAGACACTAGCATCGAACAAGCCCGGTCTTTGCGCGCCGAAGAACCAGTCGTCCTTACCCAGCAGCGTCTCTAGTGTTACGAATGCCTCGTCTGCCTGGTTGTAGAGCGTCTCGTCGTTGATAATGCTCGAGAACTTGAGCAGTTCGGTTTCGGCGGCGAGACGTAGTTCGCGGGATATCGTGAGGCGCACGAAGGGATTGCGAGAGCTTGGGAGGATGTAGAGGGGTTCGGCGATAGTGGTGGAATTGGGAGAGAGGTAGACAGTGTAGAGCTGGGATATGTTAGCTATGAGCCAAGTCGTCCTGGCGATGAACGTACCCAAGCTCTCCGTATCCGATGGTCTAGCAGACTCAGGTATGCTTCGTAGCGCAGATCTCCAGGCTCTTCTATCGCCTTCTCACTGTTGTTCATGGCCCATCGTTGCAGTTTGTTCGAGGGAACAGGCTGTGTTCGCTTGTAAGGATCTGGCGAGGACGGTATTACAAAGGGTAGCGAGCCGCTGGGAGAGGCATGGTTGTTTGCCGAGGCGACTTTGAAGGGGATTTTGGAAAACTTAAGGTACGCCTGCGACAATGTGAGCTTGGTGGTGGGGTATGGGCACCTATCGACGTGGACTGACCTGCCACTTCAAACACGCTGGGTTATGCGATGGTGCGCCTCGAATTGCTCCTCCATCTGTAGTGAATACATAGAGTACATGGGCGTCGTGATGTTGTGGTGCGCGTTGCGGGAAATCGTTGACGGGGTACGTGATGAGTGGGAATTGGTCGAACAGCTGCTTTATTGGAGTCGGGACGGAGAATAGGCTGCGCGACGATGGCTGTCTTCTAATACTTCTAGCGGAAGCGTTGTCATCGTCGGGTCGAGACATCATGGTTATGCGTGGTGATGTTGGCGATGATGTCGCAAAAAGTTGATGATGCGGCGGCCTCGGAGCAGAGCCCGCCGACGTCGTTACAGCTACAACCCCACCCAACCCACGCGAGACCCTCCTTGACACCTCTAACCAAATGTCTCCAGATACTCTTCAGTGCTCAAACAATCCTAGCAGCAATATCACCGTAATAGAATCAAAAGTACCAAAGCTTGTTAAGATTGCCGATGATCCACAACGACATTCGATGTTGACGCTTGTATTTATTAATATAGTTAGAACGCTGGATTGGAGAGGGTAATTATAGGTCAACTCGAGACTCGATTTGGGTTCACCCTATCCACACTCACAGGCAGCTTTGTGTTCACATAGGTGCAAGATCGTTGGTCAAAGGGGGAATCAAATTCTATACATTCGGGTTATGACTTTCCCTTCTCCTCCATGAAGCGGGCTGCCGCTTCTTATATATCATCACTCATTAAAAGCCAGAGACGATGCTCCAAAACCTTAAATACTTCCAGAAAGCAGATCCTACGCTACGCAAACGCTTAGATAAGCTGCTGGAACGCACGGTCGAGAGGAGATCGGAGAGGCTTGACCTCCTTGTAGAAGTCAATGGTAGCCTTAGCACGCTTGGCAATGCCCTCGGGGGTGAACTCGAACTTGGCGTAGACCTCCTTGTATGGTCCGGAGGCACCGAAGCGGTTGAGACCGAATTGCTCGTGCGAGTACTTCTCCCAGCCCATGGTGGACATGACCTCAACACTGAGCGATGGGATACCGCCGGGGATGACCGACATCTTGTAATCCTTGTCTTGCGCGTCGAAGACCTCGAAGCAAGGCAGGGAAGCAACACGAGCGGTGATACCCTGGTCCTTGAGGGTCTTGACGGCCTCCAAGCAGAGAGATACCTCGGAACCAGTGGAAACGAGGGTGATCTGGGCGTCCTTGTCCTCAAGAGCGACGTAACCACCCTTGATGGCCTTCTCGAGAGTTGAGCCCTCAAGCTGAGGCAGGTTCTGACGGGTGAGGGCGAGGATGGATGGGGTGCCCTTGGAGGTAAGTGCCATGTAGTAAGCAGCAGAGCACTCGTTTCCGTCGGCCGGGCGCCAGACCATCATGTTGGGCAGAGCGCGGAAGTGGGCGAGAGTCTCGATAGGCTGGTGGGTGGGGCCGTCCTCACCAAGACCAATGGAGTCGTGGGTAGCGACGTAGATAACGCGCTGGTGTGAGAGAGAGGACAGACGGACGGCACCGGCGGCGTATGAAACGAAGTTCAGGAAAGTACCACCGGCAGGGATGATGGTGCCGTATGCGGACATACCGTTCATGATGGCGGCCATGGCGTGCTCGCGGACACCATATCTCAGGTATCGGCCAGACCACTCACCAATGCCGAGCTCAGGGGGCTGGAAGTCGACGGCCTTCTTCCATCGGGTGTTGTTGGAGCCAGTCAGATCGGCGGAACCGGACAGAAGCTCAGGGACGACATCGTGGATCGCCTCGAGGACGCTCTCAGAGAGCTTTCTTGAGGCAATAGCGGCGTCGGTGGGCTTGTATGTGGGGAGGGCCTTCTGCCAGCCTTCGGGGAGGTCGCCGGTCAGACGGCGAGAGAGATCGGCGTGAAGCTCCTTGTGCTCCTCGCCGTATTTCTGGAAGAGCTTGTTCCACTCCTCCTCAGCAGCAGCACCCTCGGCGGCGTGCTTGTGGTACATGTCGTAGACCTCTTGGGGAACAGCGAACATCTTCTCGGGGTCGAAACCGAACTTCTCCTTGACCTGCTTGCAGTCGTCGGCCTTGAGGGGGTTTCCGTGGACACCGCCGGTACCCTGGAGCTTGGATCCGAAACCGATGGTGGTGGTGAGCTTGATCATTGAAGGCTTGTCGGTGACCTTCTTGGCCTCAGCGATGGCCTTCTCAATGCCCTCGAGGTCGGAGTCACCGTCCTCGACGTGCAGTACGTGCCATCCGTAGGACTCGAATCGCTTCATGACATCCTCAGTGAAGGCGCACTTGGTGTCACCGTCTGTATGACGTCAGTCCCCGTTTTTCCTTTCGAACTCTCTGCCAAACTTACCAATGGAGATGTGGTTGTCATCGTAGATGGCAATGAGGTTTCCGAGCTTCAAGTGACCGGCAGTGGAGGCAGCCTCGCTGGCAATACCCTCCATAGCGCAACCATCACCGAAGAACATGTAGACGTGGTTGTTGATCAGCTCGTAGCCGGGCTTGTTGAAGACGGCGGCGGTGTGCTTCTCAGCAATGGCGAGACCGACGGCATTGGCGAAACCCTGACCAAGAGGGCCAGTGGTGACCTCGATACCGGGGGTGTCGTGGGACTCGGGGTGACCGGGTGTGATGCTGTCGACTTGCTGCAGCGGAATTAGTTTTGACAGGCAGTAGAATTATCTTGAATACGTACACGGAAGTTCTTCAGGTCGTCAATGCTGACGTTGTAGCCGAAGAGGTGGATCAGCGCATACTGGAGCATGCATCCGTGACCGTTGCTAGGCACTCAGTCAGCTTTTCCATCTGGTAAAACATGGGATGTTGCAGCCCCAATGCAAGCACTGGGTCTGCGCGGAGATGATCCTGGTGCAAAAGCCACAACTGGATCTCCGACAGCGGCTGACATCAAGAAAGCAATGCTCTCTTATCTGCCGTTGCCGCGGAGATCCACAACTTCTCATCCAGACCACCCCAGAATCATTGCGCGATTCCAAGCCTGCCATGACTGCCGTTGTATGTGTTGAAAAGTACAGAAAAGTACGTACGAGAGGACGAAGCGGTCGCGGTTGACCCATTTGGGGTTCTTGGGGTTGAAAGTCATGAACTTGTTCCACACAACGTGGGCCACCGGGGCCATACCCATGGGGGCACCCGGGTGGCCGGAGTTTGCCTGGAATGTGGCATCGACCTATATAAAAACACCAAAAGTCAGCCATTGAATCTCTCAAACGACCCTTAACAGCCTCCAACAAGCTGCTGCCACTTTTGTTGAGAGCAGGACTGCTAGCGGGGTAGCTATTGATAATGGTGGGGCGGCCTCCAAAACAACAGAGGGATGTAACGTACCGCTAGGGTGCGGATGGTGTTGATAGCGAGCTCATCGGTCTTTCCGTACGGCATGATGGGCAGATCTGTCGATGGGGAAAAGATTGAAAGAAGAGAAGTTGTCGCAGACGTGCTGGTGTTTAGGTTTTGTAGTTATAGTGGGGTGGCTAGCCGTCATGCCTGCCTCACTCATAACGCCAGAGTGGACGTATTAGTGGGGTCTCTCAAAGCCCGATTACATCAACCAGTCGCCGCACTTTCTGCCACAACATGCCACATCCCACCTGCTGCTTGTTTTGTTTTTAGTAAGCCTGCGCCGTGTGCTGACATGGTTTGCCGTGTCTCGTCCCGCCGGTCAATGGCGCGTTGCTGCAGCTGCAAGTGACTGTCCATTACTAACCTCTTGCCCTGGCCAGCCTCTGTTCCCTCTGCATCCGCCATGCGCCGAGAACGACCGCACTGGCGGACCACAGTGCCCCGATAGCGCAGGGAACGCCTCTCTCAGACTCTTGCTCCAACTTGTTGCGCCATGCAGAAAACTCACGATGCGACAGAATTCTTCCGGGCGGCTATCGCGACACCCGGGATCGGCGCCGCGGCCGAAACAGAACTGCGTAGATGAGGCTCAATCGTGAAAGCCCCAATACACATGTCTCGACTAGAGCCGGACATTTAACCTGTTTATTCTCCGGTTGCGCTGAGAGACTGCGACGACATGAGACTAGGCTGCTAGGGCAGTTGGGTAAATAGCGTGCCCGCCGTGCTATATACCGCTGGCTGGCTAATCACCCTTTCAACACCATGGAGTCCCTGTACCAAGGCCGCTCAACCAGGCTGTTGGATTGACGGGTCAACCATGCGAAAGGTATCAAGTGTATTGTTACAATTTCAACATACGTAAACGAATAAATGAGCGCTGTGGGTATCTATCTCGTACTATACAAACATGTAAAGGAAATGACAGTCTTGTCGTCTTCCATCCCCTCCTCCATTTCCGCCATCGTCATTCATTAAGAAAATCTATACACAAGAAAAGGTTATGTAGTCAAGAATCGAACTTCACCTCACAGTTCCTCATCTCCACCCGACCTCCAGGAATAGGTCCTCGCCCTTTTTCCTCGGCGTGAGTCGGGGTACCCATGCAGGACTCTTCAATCCGTCCCGATCGAAGTCGACGTTTACATCTCGGCCGATGTTCAACTCGGACATCTCGTCTCTCTTCCTCCTCACATTCAACGGCCGCACGACGTCTTCCTCGTACATGACTGGGCTTCTACCCCAAGCGCCACTCTGCACGCGACTCTTACGGTCGATACCCGTCTTTGAAGCAGGTGTCGTGCTCCACGACTCTGTGCTGTTGCTGCGCATGTGTGACCGAGCCCTGCGCGGAGGACTAGTCACACGCGGCGGGGATGTAAACGGGTCTCGGTGAGGGCTCTCTAGTCTAGGCCGGGACTCGAGTAGTAGTGGCGGAAGAGCATTG